AGCCACCCCAGGCACACGACCCGTTCACACGTTGAGCAACCTCGGGATCGTGTGGGCCGGGTCGAGGCACGTCTGGAGAAACTACAACGCCGGGTAGACCGAGAAGAAAAGAAGAAGGTTCTGCTGAACGAATCTCCGTTCACAGACCGGGTTCATGAAACACCATTTCCAAAGAAGGCGAAACTTGAAGTCCCGAAGTTCACCGGGAAGGAGGACCCGGAAATTCACGTCAAAACCCTCCATCAAAGTGGGCGGATGATGGGTCTTTCCGGGGATGAGAAATGTTTGCTTTTCTTTCAGACCCTCCGCGGCCGAGCCGCCGAGTGGTTTCATAACTTACCGGCCGGTGAAATCGATTCTTTCGATGAACTGGCTGAGGTGTTTCAAGAAAAGTTCAAAGAAAACTGTACCAAGAGGAAAAAGTTTACCTACTTGAGTACAGCCGGGCAGCGAGAGCACGAGGATCTGACAAAATTCCTCACCCGGTGGAAGGATGAGGTTGACAAGGTGGAGGAGATGGACGACAAGACAGCAATGTCCCTCCTTGTATCCGGGCTCCGGTCCGGAGAACTATACAAAGAATTCTGCAGGAGGCCTCCCCAGTCCTATCAAGAGGCCTATAACACGGCCTGGGACTATGCTGACGCTGAAGCCCAGGTGTCATCCAAGAGGGAAGCCGAGCAGGGCCACTCAAAGGGAAAAGTTTCGTTGAAAAAGGAAATTACATTGCCCGGTAAGATAATAGCAGAAGTCATGGAGGTAAAACCGGTCAAAACAGAGAAGAAACTGACCGGCGAGAAACAATGGACGGAGAAGTATTGCTCTTTTCACAAAACTGATTCCCATAACACTGCAGAGTGTAACAGTGTGAAGGGGGTAATAAAGCAGATGATTGAGGCCGGTGAGATTGATCCTGAATATCTGACCCAGGCTAAGCAAAAGAAGAACCAATGGGTCAGACCAGAAGAACAACCGGCCGAGCAGAATAAAAAGAAGAAAACCGCCGGTAAAGAGCATTTACAGGTCATCTACGGTGGACCGGAAGGGGGAGATTCTGCTTCCCAAAGGAAGAAGTGGGGGCGAGAACTCTACGTGGGGACGGTAGCCCTCAATCCCCGGTCAAAACAAGCAAGACGGGAACCGATCACTTTTACTGACCGGGACCTTCCCGCCACCGGAGAAGATCACAATGACCCCCTGGTTATAACTATGGACATGGGTGGAGTCGATGTCTCCCGGGTACTCGTTGACACGGGAAGTAGTGTCAACGTTTTGTACTTGGATGCATTTGAAAAGCTCAAGTTGTGTCGGACACGGCTTGAGCCCTTAAAGATTCCCCTGTCCGGGTTCACCGGGGACTCTGTTGAAGCTGAAGGATCAATCCTTCTTACTTGTGAGTTAGGCACAGGAGACCAGGTCGTCCAGAAGCAAATGAGGTTTGTGGTAGTGAACATCAAATGTGTTCATAACGCCATCCTAGGCCGACCTGGAATAAACAAGGTCCGTGGAGTCATCTCCATGGCCCACCTCTGCATGAAATTCTATACCCCGGGCGGTATAGGACAGGTCAGAGGAGATCAAAAGAAGGCCCGACATTGCTACTTGGAGGCCGTAAAGAAAATGACCAAGGCATTTGAGAGAGTCACTTTGGTCTCTCAGGAAGAAGAGCGGTCGAAGCTAGAGCCGGGCGATGAAACTGAGCAGATTGTTCTCCGAGAAGCCTTCCCAGAAAGAATGGTACGGATCGGAAGAGATCTGCCCGGAGGACTTCGAGATGAAATCATCTCAGTTCTTCGGGAATATGCAGATATTTTCGCTTGGAGTGTGGCGGACATGCCGGGCATTGACCGTTCTGTCATATGCCATCGTTTGGCTGTGATGGAAGGGAGCCGGCCTGTGAAACAAAAGAAGAGGCACTTGGCGATCGTCCGTAGGGACTTTGTGAAGAAAGAAGTCAAGGACTTGTTGGCGGTCGGGCACATACGGGAGGTACAATACCCGGCCTGGCTGGCTAACGTCGTCTTGGCTCCAAAAGGCGACACCTGGCGCATGTGCGTGGATTACACGGATCTGAACAAGGCATGCCCCATGGATTCATACCCGCTGCCCAGTCCCGATCAGATGGTCGATGAGACGG